CCCTTTTCCGGCTCAAGACCATGGCCTCGGATTTGGAGGCACTGAGCCTCATCCCGGCCGCTTCGCACTCGGCCACGAACCACTCCAGCGAGTGCTGCAGATCACGTTCCGATGAAGCCAACAGGACCACATCATCCGCAAAAAGAGAGTTTCTCATCCATCAACTTCATTTTCCAGTTTGATGCAGCTAAAATGCATTTTGAGCATCTGTCTGGACTCATCCAGGCCTGAACTCTGCTGCTGCTCCCCTTCTTCCCCTCTCCTCCTCACTCAGCTTGTCTTCTTCTCATTGGCTAAATGAGCAGCTGTGCCAGTTAGACTGAGACCCATGAACCACCTTTTTTTGGCCTCCATTAGTGCTGTGGGATCCATCTGGTCGCTGGTCCCCAGAGGTTGAAGTGGTCTACAGTAGCTGAAGTCTTCCTCGCGGTGCAGTGCGATACCGTTAGAATCCCTGCAGTTATGTAAATCCAGGCTGAATGTTTGAATGTGTAACCGGGCTTCTACCAGGAACAGAAAGTTCTGCTTCAGCTGAAATCGTACTGTGACACGGGGGCCTGCTGGCTGCGGTCAGATCAGACAGGAGATCAATGAGGACGACTCTGTCCAGCATTAGTTTGACGGATCTGCGTCGCTTTAAAGGCAGCTCAGTCGTTACAGATTATCCTCCCCTGCCCCACCTCTCATAAACAGATTACAAGTGTTTTTCTCACTGTGGGCTCACAGATTAAAATGTGTGCTTTTATTTAAATATTTATTTCTCCAAACCAAGTGGGGAAATGTATTTAATGTAAAGGATTTTACCTAATTGAATGATATTTTTTAGATTAGTCAACCACTGGATTACTGGATTATGAAAGCATGAAATTATGGTAATCCCAAACAAGTGGGACTTTACGTAATTTATGCCCATTTATTTATTTGCCTTTTCATACCTGTTTGGACTGGTTGAGGGAGCAGGTCTCAGGACTAGAAGAGAACATGTCCCCCCACAGCTGCGTGGGCAAAACACTAAGAATTAAAGCTATCAAAGTTCATTTTATAACCAGGCGTTTGATTACATTTAAAGGGATAGTTTGGATCTTTAGAAGCAGAGGTTCTGTGGAAATGTTAGGAACAATTAATATGTTACCTGTTGTAGATAGCAAAAAGTTAGCTTTGCTAACTTAAAACCCACTAACTAATAGGTTGTGGTCAAACAGCAGTACTAATTTTTCATTGACCAAATTTACCTTTTCAGTAACTCTGAAACCTGTCAGCGGACCAATTAGCTTCCTCTTAATWAGGTTTTGCAAACTTTAGATCYGCTAACAGCTAACTAACAAACTAACATCAACAGGTTTGTGTCGTCTAAGCAGTTAGCAGTTGGTCAACATAAATTTAACAAAACAAACAAAATAAATCTTTCATTGTCAAAGWCTGTCAGTCAGATTCTGATGGTTATTCCTGCTCTCTGATCAACAGGTGAACGCTCCAACAAATTCCAAAAATGAGTGAGCTGGAGCAGCTTCGTCAGGARGCCGAGCAGCTTCGGAGCCAGATAAAAGTAAGTTTTTACACATGGTTCACATTAATATTCTGACGTTTATACTTGGTTTACCAACTTTTATTTTATGTCCATTAGGATGCTAGAAAAGCATGTGGAGACTCAACACTGACGCAGGTAAACACTACTGAAACATGTCAAGTCCTGAGACAAATGTTTGCCATTTTKGGAGTTTCATTTTAATTATCACTGCTTAGCCCTTCAGTCTCACAGAACAACTTTTAAAATAAAAATTGTAGTAAAAGTTTTTTTTTTTTACCTCACTTAGATCGCTGCTGGTTTGGATCCTGTGGGGCGGATTCAGATGCGAACGAGACGCACCCTCCGGGGTCACCTCGCCAAGATCTACGCCATGCACTGGGGTTCAGACTCAAAGTGAGAGTCCACAGTAACTGTCAAATCAAATAATGRCTTTCCAGAACTGAGTTAATAACTCTCTTACAAGCTGTAAAAATGACTGAATTATAGTAATTWATGTTTGCTTGGTTTGAACCGGTTTGAATTTTCTAAGAGACACACACACTTTTAAATCATGTTAACATTTTATTATAGCCAGGTGTTTATTTGGACAAAAGTAACAGTTAAATGTCCGTGTTTTTCTCCTCTTCTGTCTGCAGGCTCCTGGTTAGCGCCTCTCAAGATGGCAAACTGATCATCTGGGACAGCTACACCACTAACAAGGTGAAGTGTGTGAAAATKYTTCTGCCATGAGCTCATTAGTGCGCTAACTTGTCTGGACTAGATGTGAGAGTTAAAACCTWACAGACTGACTTCAGCCACACTGTGACGTATCAGAACATTAAGAAACATGATATTTATGGTTTTACCCTTTGATTAGTGCAGAACTGGGTAAAAAGTCTAAAAGGTGCAGGTGGACAATAATATTTTTGTCTGTGGCTGTTTGCTAGCAAAATATCTTAACTACAAGAKGGATTTTAAWGAAACTTTTTGAAAATAGCTGGAAGTACGTGTAAGTATAACAAAACACTTGCAGATTGGATTCCAACAACAGATTATACGAGCTAATACTTATAAGGCAATATAGCGTTGGTGCTAGCGCAAAAGCTAACAGGCTAAGCTGAGGTTCTTCTTCCATGAAGCAGCTCTGTTGTCCTCCATCTATATTTTCAGTTACAGGCTGAGTCATTTCTACCTTMTCCTCTCTGTCAACGCTCTCTGGTTTCATTTTAAAAGTCAATCGTCAGATATTGTCTGAGATTAACCTTCAGGGTGGATATAGCTCGCTCACACTTAGGACCTATCACGTCATCATTTACCCAGAATTCTTTGTGTGTAAATAAAATGGCTCCATCCGTGTTAAAAATTTTTTTTTAAATTTTACAAAACTAAACAGCCTACAGTATTTTTACAGTCTTTATTTTACAGTTAAAATAAATGTTTATCAAATAAAGTCTAATGTTACAACYAATCAGGGATCCCTTTAAGAAAAACGGGGGACAAATAAATAAATCCACCTTGTTTATGCTAATCTTGCTCGCCATCATACATCTCAGTCTACACCAAGCCACGCCCACATACACTTACGCTGGAGGCACATTMCTGCACGTTCACCCTTATTGGCTGAAGCCTGAGGGGGCGGGAMAAGATGTCTGTCAATCACTCTGCACCACGAATGAACAGGGCTGTGAAAAGTGAGCTCTTTGGACAGACTCTGGCGTTTTTAGCAGTTTTGTTGTAAATTTCACAAAAAGTGATACAATATTATCTACCTGTGTTTATTAGGTATTTTAATATTTCTATTGTAAATACAAGGGAGGACTCAGCCCTGTTAACGTTTCATGAGATTCTTTTTCAAGGTTTGAAGCAAAATGACTACAACTCCGTCATTTCTCATCTTAAGATGACCTCTCAGTTCAAACCTCGGTTCGGGCATATAAAATGGTGTCAACAGATGAAGCATTTTGTTTTACAGTTTTTTTCCCCCCTCAGATACACGCCATCCCCCTGCGCTCCTCCTGGGTGATGACCTGTGCGTACGCCCCCTCGGGGAACTACGTGGCCTGCGGAGGCCTGGACAACATCTGCTCCATTTACTGCTTAAAGACACGCGAAGGCAACGTCAGGGTCAGCAGGGAACTACCTGGACACACAGGTGAGCACYTGGCTCTCAGCCACATCCGTCCAGTGTTCCACGCTTCCTTTGACACAATTTTTGACAATTGAGTATAAACATGTAAGATACTTTTGTTTTTTGTCCTAAACGCATCCCTCACCTGACCGTCTCTGTCCTCTCAGGTTACCTGTCATGTTGCCGCTTCATCGATGACAATCAAATCATCACAAGTTCCGGAGACACCACCTGGTGAGTCCCGTCGTCACTCTGCATCAGYGCGCTCTGCAGGGGGCGCTTTAACCAGTTTCCTCTCGCCGCCGCAGCGCGTTGTGGGACATCGAGACGAGCCAGCAGACCACGGTCTTCTCCGGCCACACCGGCGACGTCATGAGCCTGTCGCTGTCGCCCGACTTCCACACGTTCGTGTCCGGAGCCTGCGACGCCTCGGCCAAGCTGTGGGACATCAGGGACAGCATGTGCCGGCAGACCTTCACGGGACATGAGTCGGACATCAACGCCAGCTGTGTGAGTGTGCTGGGGGGGCCGGGGGGTGTACCATTTGGTCATTTTTCATAAAAAAAACAGATACTGAAAAATGAAACATGAGCGGTTATTTTATTTTCATTTTATACTCTAAAAAACAGACTTTTTATTTCCGTCAAACCAAAGATTTAGCTGCAGCAGCTTTAAGATCCTCAACATGGACCTCAGGGAGGAAGGTTTCATGAGCTAAAAGCAGCAGAAGCTCCAGGAAACAGTTTGAATCAGTGATAAACTATGTCAAACTAATCGGCTAACGTTTATATTTTTTATCTGCAGACTGATATTTGAAAGTTATTTAATTAGCTCCACCTTAAACGGTCTGAGAACAACTGTGTTCAACTTCCGGTCTGACTAAAATAAAAAGAGTTTTTCAGTATTTTGGAGTATAAAATGAAAATAGAAGTTCTCCCAGACTTGTTCTCCAAGTCTGGGAGAACAAAATAAAATAAAAATCTGGATTTTATGAAAYTTAGTAGAAACTTTGCACAAATGTTTTATCTACTTTCACTTAATGAAGTCAGAAACATGTGGATAGTTGATCACAAACAGAAGATACTTGTATAAAAATAAAGGTTTTGTATTTCATGAAGGAACACTGCCGCTGCCTTTCATGACAGATTATTTTAGACCAAGGCTGCGTTCACTTCAGGTCTGATTTTCGTGTGTGTGTGTGTGTGTGTGTGTGTGTTCGTTCACTTTATAACTTAAATTACCTCCATCAGACTTCAGATCCAAAACGCTGGTACTGTAGATCACCGTTAGCATCGTGGTGTAAATTCTCAGAAATCCAGGATGAGACAAATCTCAAAATTTAAAAAAACAAAATCGAAACAGTCGCACTTGAGTTCAGTAACTAAAGACGTGCAGAGTTTTATTTACAAACTGAATAAAAGATGTCAACAAAGGGGGRCGTGTCCATCCGCTTGGACTGCAAAATCACTGCGAAAAATAAAAATGGCGGATGTGCAAAAGTGGCCAGCCAGAAGTGCATGAGTAGCAGCTCTGCAGCAAATACTGAYGTATTCTTCAAAATATGTCAGAAAAGAAAGAAAACTGAATGGGTTGAAAAGTCTGACCCAAACAGAATATAAAGATATCTAAGCAGCACCAGGATAAATTCACATTTTCTGCACTCTTACAGACTCCAAGTCCACAACAAAACATATTTAACGACTAAATAAGTGGGTTTTGCAGAAGTCGCCCCCTTTAATGTCAGAACATTAAGATATTTCTACGTACAATAAAGGCTGACTGACAGTGGAGCAAATAAACATGCAAAAGATTAAATCATTAAATCCTCTTCTTCCTCCTCCACACTCTTCCCCAGTTCTTTCCCAACGGCAGCGCCTTCGCCACCGGCTCGGACGACGCCACCTGCAGGCTGTTCGACCTGCGGGCCGACCAGGAGCTGAATGTGTACTGCCACGACAACATCATCTGCGGCATCACCTCCGTGGCGTTCTCGCGCTCGGGCCGCCTGCTGCTGGCCGGCTACGACGACTTCAACTGCAACATCTGGGACGCCATGAAGGGCGACCGAGCAGGTGGGCGGAAAGGTCAAAGATCAACAAAACAAACCAATGAAGGGCRTAAAGCTGGGGTCTGCAACCTGTGGCTATGGGGCCACATGTGGCTCTTTGAAAATGTGACCAAACAACAGAATTTTATTTTATTTTATTTTTGGGTGTGTGTGGGGGGTGGGGGGGGGGGGGGGTTGTTACCCACAACAGAAATTTATATGCAAAATGTGAAAAATACCAATACAAAAAGTAATGTAAAAGTAACATGTTAGCTCATGCTAGCCTGTTGTTTACTTAAAGATTCCAATTTTTTTCCCTCTTTCAAATCCATCAGAATTACTTTTAAATAGTTTGAAGACTATAATAATAATAATTATTAGAAAATAAATATGCCTGAATAATTCAGATTTACCCGTTTTTATGAAATTCAGTATAAACTATACAGTATTTTTCTTGTTTACATGAAAATGTTTTTTATTTGTCCTGATGTGTATAATAATAGTATAATAATAATAATAATATTCTATTAGTTTTATATTGTCACCTTCACAGACCGTAAAAGTTCCCCAAAAGGCCTCGAAAAGGCCTGTAAGAGTGAGCTTAAGGTAATTTAAGCTTTTCCCACATCTCTCATACACAAGGTTATGAGGAAACTTTTACCAAGGTATTTCTCATTACTTGTTAATATCTTGACTGTGCGAAGTGAAGAGTGACACAAGTGAACGTTCAGACGAGTTCAAGTTGATTCATAAAAGACTATGCAATCATTTATTTACACAAACAGAACAGATCATAAGTTACACTTGATTGTGGTTATTCCTATAACAAGCGTCAGAGTTAAATGAGATAAAACCCGCATCCGAATTTCAATTCACATCAACTCAGATTACTTATATAGAACAGTAAAAACGTCATTTCTGATGTTAAAAACCAAACAATTTTACTGGCACTTCTAGCTTAAGTTTTGGCAAATTAAGAACAAGGAAAGGAGGAAAGTAAGATTAGTATGTTACTACGACTTTTACTTTTATCAAAGTGTGGGTCAACCGGAACTGCACGTCTTTTCTAAGCTCAGGTTCCACATGACATGTCACTCCGAACACATCAGCTTTTACCTGATGATGGCTTCTTAAGGCACCCTCGGGGTAGGAGCTGGCTTGCCTCCGATCAGTCTGGGAACTGATGTCGGCTCGCTTACCGGTCATTGGCGAACAGGTGTTTTCCAGGTAACTTTTGTCTGTTTTCCTCCTTCCAAAATAAAATCTCCCCTCGGGAGTTAAAAACACACTTAGAGGCTCGGCCTCGGGTTGAGACCACCGGCAGGCGTGCCGGGTCCCTGGCTATGAAGTCTTCCCTAATTAGCTCATGGGATCAGACTTTAAGCCAAACTGAGGTTTCTCCGGAGAGAATCCCAGCTGTCTTCCTAGGTTGGAATCAGGAAGAAGAGTGTGTCGCTCAAAGCCGTCCGGGATAGTAAAAGAAATGTAAGTAAGTAAGTAAGTAAG